CCAATCCTCTTCAAGCCATTATTGGATTTACTGAGATTTCTCACTATAATTTAGAACTTCACTGCCATACTATTAGCCAAGTCTATAGTTTCTTGAAATATTCAATGTACATGAAAAATGATCAAATCTAGAAATGATCCTCCATACATTACAAGCAATTTCTCCAACAGGCCTGTACAACAATATATAGAAGTCGATTTTGTGGTTTATGCTGCAAGAGCTAAATCGTCCATAGTTCTTTGTCTTTTGCATCCTTCAAGGAAACTGCGCCAAATCAATGCATTTGGCGGGAAAGGCATCCCCAAAATTAGTCGCTCAGCCTCTTTGAGATGCCCATATCTAGCCAATAGATCAACAACAAGGAGATAATGATCCATTTCTGGTTCAACCCCGTACTTCGATTTCATTTGCCCAAACAATTCCGTTCCCCGTCCCACATCCCCAACATGTCTACATGAAGAAAGAACAGCTAGAAAAGCAACTTTATCTGGCCAAAAACCCTCTGCTTCCATCTCCCTGAATTTATCCAAGGCTTCATTTGCATGACCATGCAATCCAAGGGCTGAAATAAGAGATGTCCATGAAATAACATTCCTTTTTTTTATTTCATTGAAGATCTTAACAGAACTCTCAGGACTCCCACATTTCCCGTACATGTCAATCATGATGTTACACACAAATGTGTCACAAGACCTAAAATCAGTTTTGATAATTAGACCGTGAAGAGAAGAGCCCAAAGCAAGGTTACACAATTTGGTGCAAACACTAAAGAGACTAACAAACGTGTAATTGTCAGGAGAGACTAGAGATCTTCGCATGTGATCGAAAAGTTCAAAAACCTCTTTGTAGTCTCCATTTTTTGAACACGCCGCAATCAAAATATTCCATGATACAATGTCAGGTTCCTCCATTACAGCAAATAACTCTTGAGTTTTCTCATATTGGCCGGTTCTGTTATAAATCCCAGCAATTACATTGGATGTAACAACAGAAAGGGGCGTGATATAAGAAGCAACAAAAATCAAGGCATCAGTTTCGAAACCATTTCTGGTGTAGGAGCTGACAAGAGAGCTTAACACATATGCATTCTCTTGATAACCCAACTTTACTGTCAATGCATGAAGTTGGAACAACTNGTAGGAGCTGACAAGAGAGCTTAACACATATGCATTCTCTTGATAACCCAACTTTACTGTCAATGCATGAAGTTGGAACAACTCTAATGGCGATGATGATTTAATAACAATAGAAAATGAGAACTCATTTGGCTGATAACCTAAGTAAATCATATCTTTCAACAACCCAACTGTAACAGAAAAATCTATATTTGAATATCCCAGCATCAAAGAATTCCAAGAAACCAAAGTCTTCTCAGTTATTTCATCAAAACAAAGGTGCGCTTCTTCAACTTTATCAAATTTAGCATAGAAGTCAACCAAAGCACTACCTGCATACACATCAGCTTCGAATCTTTTCTTGATCATCTTACCATGGATGAGTTTCCCATACAGTGATGTATGCATGCTTGTGCAAGAACTAAGAACGTTTACAAATGTTGTCTCATTTGGCAAGAATTCGTGCGCACACATTTCCAGGAAGAGATCAAATGCTCTGGCTGGTCTAGCACTTTTCACCATTGCTCCGATTAGTGTGTTCCATGACACAATATCCATAACAAGAACCTGTTCAAAAAATTTCTCCGCTGAGCATTTGACATCGCACTTCGCATACATATTAAGCAGAGAATTACTCACTGAAGCTACACAATCAAAACCATACTTTATCACTGCTCCATGTATCTGCTCTCCTATTTGCAATTTATTTTCTCCATCAAAACAAGATAAGATACCCACAAAAGAATACTCAGACACTCCTATTTCATTTCTAATGAGCTCGCATAACATATTCAGACAATTTTCAACAAGGCCCATTTGGCCAAACAAAGATAACATACAGTTCCAGCTCACCAAATTCTTTTCAGGCATGCATTCAAATACCCCAATAGCTTCATCTAAACATCCGTGTCTCCCATACATACTTAACAATGCAGTTCCAGGAAAAGGATCAGCACAGAACAACCCATTCTTTTGAATCAGTGCCTGCAACTGCATTCCTTCAAAAATAGCCAAGGAATCACATGATAAGAGCCCGCCAAATGTAAACTGTGAAGGCTTAAAATCACATTTTCTCATGTCAGAAAACAACTTCCAGGCCTCCTCTAAAAACCCATTTTGACAACACGCAGAAATCATGGTATTATACGATACAACATTTCTGCTAGACATTTCATCGAATAACTTGATCGCCGAGTAAAAATCACCGAACGACGCATAATTCTTAATGATATTGTTGTGAAGGAAAACAGGTTGCTGTGCTGGGATTGAACCCATTTTGATGGTGAGTGCATGGAGGATTTTTGTCTCACTGGAAGATTGAATCTTTGAGGGATCATGGAGTAGGTGCATAAAGCTGTGGTTTTTGATAGCTTGTCCATTAGAGCTAACAGAAAAGTTCAGTTTCCTGGTGGAAGGAAAAAACTTTGGGATTACGATGAATTGATGTGTGTTCCTGGGGCAAATTGATGTTGATTTTCTCATGCAGTATAAAAAATTGCACCTTATACGAGGCCCTGCAGGTGATACGAGATGAACATGAATTGACTACAGTCGAATAGCTGATGATTCTCGAGCCCGTTTACTATTCTTTTTAGAGATTAGAGTCCCTAAGTTCTAGTTGTCAAAGCCCTGGATTGTTCACTCAATTTTCAGTTGATCGGATTTCGTCTGAATCTTTTAAAATACGGTTTGAATTGACTGTCGTTTGCTCTTATCAAACTAATATGGTTAGTTCAATTTTTAAGACGGTGCTTTAATACAATAATACTATTGTCTTTT